TGATTAACCTGGCAACTGTTCCACCTATAGTCTTGCTACATGAGATAATAAATGCTCTGTGGTTTAGGGTACATTTACTTGGGCTTTCTGTTCTTGTAACTGAAAGCATACATGTAGTCCTGGGAAGCACTGTGACATTAGTCTGGTAATTAGGAGCAGAAAGAGTCTTATAATTTTTTCCTATAAGAGTCCGGGTAGAATTAGAGAAAAATCCTATTTGTTGCAATTTCATGTTTCCATTTTGGGTCACACTGGCATACACTGAAGGCTGACATTTATTGAACACCTATTCTGTGCTAAGTGCTTTATTTTTATTAATGCCCTTAACAACAGTAAACCTACTTTACAGATGAAAAACCTGAAGCACAAAGATTTCAAGGGTAAGGCCCTGCTAGTAAGGAATAGAGCCAGGATTTGAAATCAGGTCGAAGTTCTTTTTAATAGTCAGCATGGCTCTCAATTGTCAGATTGTTGATATCTGTCGTATAGCATATCCATAAGCAATTTATTACTAATAAGAAAGCACCAAAATTAAAAAGAAATGATAGGGGCAGATTCAAGGCTATGCCTATATACATCACTCTCATGAACTTACATTCCAGTGCATTCACTTTCTGTTGTGGGAGGGAAAATGTTGGCGCTCTCTGCAGCCCCCAGAAAATTGTGCCCACCCTACAGCCTACCTTATCTGTGCTGCAGCCCCTAATGTGGGTGCAAGTATAGGAATAGGCGAGGCAGATGGAGGGTTTTGAGCCTGAATGTATTGAGGGAAAGTATTGGGAACTGCGCCATGGGAATGAGATGCAGGCTCTTCTTCGCCACTTTGTAAGTCACGTATTCTTGATTCCACACTCTCTAACGACAAGGGGTTCTGTTATTATTGTGACTTTAAAAGTACAGCTGTTACATGTGTTAAAACTTATAGAACTATATACCAAAAAAAAAAAAAAGTCAATTTTACTTTATGTAAAGCAAAAGGCAAGCTGGGTCATTGCAAAGGGGTACGTGCCCCTCCACAAGTGTGAACACCGGGCTTGCTCGGCCATAACAGAATACAGTTGTCCTGTGAGTCCAGACAGCAAGGCTCTGCCCTGGGAAAAGAAATGTCGTTTTTTTCCCCCCTTAGCTTGACACTATCAGTGACAAGTATCCAAAGACATGCAAGTCCTGGTCACAAATTAGAGCTCAGAAAACAGGTGGGAGGCCAGCAGCAAAGGGATGCTTGGAGCCTGGGGTATTGTCAAGCGGCAGGAAGTTAAAGAGAAGTAACTAGTTTTTTTCTGCAATGACCCCATTAAACTTACTATATGGCCTCTCTCTTCCTGGCCCTTTGGAGGAAATTTTGATCAGATCACATAAACTTGATGGTTATACTTTGTTTCCAATATTTTTTAAAATTGTGGTAAAATACACATAACACAAAATTTATCATTTTAAACTTTTTTTTAAAACAAACTCTCACTGTTTTGCTCCAGCTAGAGTGCAGCAGCCTCATCATAGCTCACTGCAGCCTCAAACTCTTGGGTTCAAGTGATCCTCTTGTCTCAGCCTCCAGAGTAGCTGGGACTATAGATATATACCATCATGGCTGGCTAATTTTTTTTTAATTTATTTTTTGTAGAGATAGGGTCTTGCTGTATTGCCCAGGCTGGTCTCCTGGACTCAGTGCTCCTCCTGCCTCAGCATCCCTTTTTTTTTCCTTAAATGACAGCTCCAGGCCAGCCTTTTGTGCTATGGGTAGAAGTGTAGCTTTCTCCCTCTGCAGCCCTTTCTCTCCTTGCTCTACTAGCTAGTCGGCCTCTCGTGTGAAGATTTGCATCCCCAAAGAGCCAGTTACCAACTCCTTCGCCCCTAAAACCCAGAGGACCCATATTAAGCTAGCAAAGTGGATTTCTTGCAGTCTCCTCTTTCTCAGGCTTAAAGTGGAGAGAAGCTTACCCTGCCTCTCCATGAGCTGCAGAAGTGATAGGTGACCTTCTAATTCACAGTCCTTTCTACCCCATGTCCCCTCTCTGAGCCTCCAGGCTGCTGATGAGCTGATGCTGGCAGAAGCAGGCCCACAGTCCCTGGTTTGTCCTTCAAAGGTGGGCTAATGTCTTCCTCCAGGGCAAGGTTTCTCCACCCAGCACTATTGACATTTTGGGCCAGATAATTCCTTGCTGCAAGGCTGGTCCTGAGCGTTGCAGGAACTTTAGCAACATCCCGGCCTCTACCTCCTAGATTCCAATAGTACCTCCTTGCCTGTTGTGACAACCAAAAATGTCTCCAAACATTGCAAAACGTCCCCTGGGGGGCAAAATCGCCCCTGGTTGAGAAGCACGGCTTTAGTGTCTTGAGCTACTCTCAGCCTTTGGTACCCACAGAGCCCCCTTTTATCAATCTGTTGCAGATGATTTCGGATCCACAGCGAGCTAGAGCCAGGCTGGAAGCGCCAGGAAGACTTGGAGGAAATTAACTTGTAATCATTTGTTTATTTCCTTTTGTCTCTCTAGAAAAGTCCTATTTATATGTTGTATCCTCAACTCAGCCATAGCCCAGGGGGTCAAGAGGCAGGTGTTGGTGGCCACACTCGGGCCTTGGGGGGAGTGCAGTCCCCTCTGTTGACTGGCCCTGGCAAGGCCAGCCGTGGCTGTGGGGGTGGTAATTTGTGAGCATTCACAGGGAACAACAATAGGCTTCAAATCCTGCTGCCTCTTCTTACAGGGAGACTCTCTCTTCTTTGTCAGCCGGGACAGATCTGCATGTTTTTCTTTATTCTTTTCTTTTCTTTTCTTTTTATTATTATTTTTTTTTTTTAGGAAACCAGCAGTTTCCTTGTAGCGTTCTGTTAGGGTTGGAGAAGCAATAGGAGCCAGAATGTGGGAATGTAGATGTTTGAGCACGTCCTGCTTCAGGTCGGGTCTGTCCCTGAGACCTGGTATGGAGCTGGGCCTTGCCCCAGGGGAGGACAGAAGGCAGCTGCTGCTGACTGCTCAGTGTAACAGGAACCCGTCTTTCACAGAAGAGTGTGTGTGTGTGTGTGTGTGTGTGTGTGTGTGTGTGTGTTTCAACTAAATGCAGAAACAGGCCCACAGTCCCTGGTTTGTCCTTCAAAGGTGGGCTAATGTCTTCCTCCAGGGCAAGGTTTCTCAACCCAGCACTGGTGGTCGCCCATGGAAGATAAATGAGGAAGGGACACTTGTGGCTAAGGGGCTTGCAGACTGCACAACCCAGGCCCAAGACCCTCAGTGTGTCCCAATCCCTGGCCCCTTATCTTCCTTTCTGTTGCTGTCGAGAGCACTTGCCCAGGGAACTGGACTTGCTGTTGGCAGCTCTGATCCCGGAGACTGAAGTCACAGCTTTAACAATATAACCCTGAATATTGGAACTACAAGCAGTCTCACCTGCGTTCTTTATTTGCAGTGAAATAGACATGGATGAGGAGATGTACAAGTACAAGGTTATTCAAACATGGGAGAGGACATGAGAGGGGGCTCAGAGACAAACATAAGATAATTGACAGGTGCTTGTAGAAGAAAAATTACATACAGTAGACCAGCAGAAGAATAAAAAATAATAGAAAAATGCCTGGAAAGACATAAAGGAAACCGATTTTGAATATAATATCCCATCTGGTATGCAGCTATTTCACATGGGCCATTCCTGACAAGGTCCAAGGAAGTTCCATGTGATGGTAGAGGTTTTAGAGAATGGGGCGGAGGATGAGACCTGGCCTATCGGGATAGGCATTGGGATAGTGTTCCTCGCCTACCCAATAGCCATTTGCCTGTATTTTCTCCCCTGGCAGGTATTGGGCAGAGATATTTCACTGCAAGAATGAATCATGATTGGCCTAAACTTGTTTTCATCTTACCAGTGATTGGTCTAGGGGTGGACGTGAGACCCAGGGCTGCTAGTAAGACACGAGGGGAGGTCTACAGAAGGAAAGGGAGCTAGCAAGGGCAAAAGTTTTTACCTTGTCTCTTGCTTGTTGGGATGCCAGTGACAGAGTATGATGCCTGAAGCTTTGTTAGCTAACTTTGGACTCTGAGCAGATAAATATTAGAATGAAAAACAATCCACGGAGCCTGGTGGAGCAGAGGACTGGGAAGACTTTGGGCCCAGGAGGGTCCCCTTGAGCTGCTGAACTACCCTGCACCCACCCACCCATGCTTAATTGTTTTCTTCCTTGTGATCTAACAACATAGGCAGGGAATACATACACCAACCAACTCCTATGCTACGTGTTTCCTATTTCTTTAAATAGTTCTATTAAACCAAGTTCTTAGGAACTGACATACATTTTTCTTAAAAAAAAAAACAACTTTAAAAAAAAAATCCTGAGAGCTAAATAAAAGGTTATGGAAAAACAGAATTCTTTATAAAAATAACACACTGCATACATATTTGATATTGTGAGAACCGCTCAGGCTTAGAGCAACATTTTGCGATGTCTGGTGGTGTTGATCTTGGACATGGTTATCTTGCTCTCTGTCAAATGACGGATTCCCACTGAGAGGCAGCCGCTTACTCCCCCCCTCCCCTTTTTTTGTTTTGATGATTCTAACGATCCCTTGTATGACAGACACAGGAAAGAATGCAGGAGCCAACTGGGGGAATGCATTCAATTCACATAAGAATGTAATGAGTCAATCCAGATTTCAAACCCCTCACTGGCAAGGTTATATCTTTGCAGTGATTTGTTCTCACCTACTTCTATGAGTGTTTACTTTCTCTATGACAACGACAGTAGTCACAGATTAGAGTGATGGCTGTTTGTCAATAGAGGCTTAGTGGCCTGAGGTTTGGAGCAGTGGCTTTTGTTCAAGCTAGATATTTTCATGTAGTTTAAATTAATAAAACATGAAGGAATGTCTAGTATAATGCATGTGCCTTGCTTTGCTCTTTGATTGCATATTAATTATATGCATACATCTTCCTTCTAAGAAAATTGAATCACACAGCTCTAAGCTCTAACTTGCTGTCCGGGCTCTTATGGATTCTCCTTTTTTTTTTGTTAGGGAGAAAATATGTAATAAAAACGGGGACAAGCACTTCGGTTTGTGTTGTTATAACAGACAATTATCAGAGCAGCTCTTCCTCTCATCCTTCATCATGGGGAAGAGCCATCCTAGCAACGCCTGGGACTGAAGGTCATGCTGCCTGGCTTTGTGGGGACAGATGGCCATTGCTCATCATGTTAGCAAGAAGCTTGATGCTCACTTCTGGACATCAGCTGCTCACTATGTATATTAAGTGATAATTTAGCTTCAGGTGGCACCAGCCCTGGTGCTGTCTGATCTCCTGCTACCTTAATGGAAAATATTTGGACAGCAGTACCTTACTTTCCTGCCCTCCATTATGAAATAGTGACAGACTCTGCAAAATATCGCATCATGATAATAATAAATACCATTGTTTCTTATCATTTGGATTTTGCTTGCTTTGCCACCTAGGTATTCCGAATTCAGAACCCCAAGGGATAATTTCCTAAGTTATCTGAAAAACAAATAAACAAGGAAACAAACAAAAAACAACCCCCTCCTCCTGAAAATGAAGTAACAGGAGCCCCCAGGGTGGGGTGACTGGGAGGAGCAGAGCAAGGCAGGGGTTGGGGAAAGACAGTATTTGTTGAGAGCTGGACCATTACTGGATTTCAGAAGAATATTAACTTTCTTGGTGCGTGTGGCTTTGATAAATTCTCTGCCTCTGAAGTAGCTTAAGGTTCTCTGGAGCAGCTCTGTTATTAATTCTCATTGAATTCCTATAAGTCAGTGTCATCACAGGTAAATGGAAGAGCCAGGCTCACAGCACCAGGGAGCTCTTCCTCAGTTGTTTGTTAGTGCTTGGGTCCCAGCTAAAGTGTTTCAGAAAAAATGTATGTACTTATTTATATTCCTTACAATGCTCCATGATGGACTGGATACAGTCCCTAGAATGTATGTTGTATAATAACAGAGGAAATATTGAATCAGGGCTACAGGAAATATGGATAGGATGGGAAGACCACAATCCAAGAATCATAAAATCTCACACCTTCTGCTAAAGCAGACTGACAAATTCAGATCTAAGTTTCCTGGTTACCGGAGGAAAATGGGAAATATGGTAAATTGTAAAATTAAGACAAATATTCCCAATGTCAGAATTCACATTTTCATAGAGAAAAAAGCATACCACTTTTTAAAAAATGCAAATCTTTCCTGACTCTCAGACTTTCCTAAGAGGTCTGGCATGCATCTTCATGGGCGTGGATACTCATGTAACAGGCAACAGGCGACAACCTCACTAATAAACACAATAACAGGCTTCCTATAATTCCTAGCATACAACAATATCCACAAGTAACTGAAGCATATCCCTGAGTCTATACCACAGTATAACCCCTTTGTGGAAGCCGTTTCTTCCAGAAGGGCTCTATTGTTTGGTGTCAGATCTTTGCATGTCAGAGAGTTCTAGGCAAGCATTTGCTTTCAACTATGTTCAGAGGACACACCCCATTTTCAGGCCAGCTATGTGCAGAATTTTGCATGCTCTCTTTTCCTTTCCAGAAAGATCTCCACCAAACTTTCCTGTCTGATTTTTTTCAGACACTCCCTCTTACAGGATTTTAAAAGGACAGGTGAGCCTGAGAAAACCTCACCACTGTAATTGTAGAGATGTGAGTAAAGACATAGCAGGTGGCTTCCCTCGCTCAGCCCCCAGGCTTAAAAGAGAAACCAGGCTTCCCCCTCCCCCACTAGATCAGGTTATTAACCATACAACCAACATGATGCCTAGTAATTTGTTTCTAAGTTACAAGGAAATATCTGTGGGAAGCAACCTATATTCAGTGGTATATTCAACATCCTGAAGAAACAATTCTGTTAAAGAACAGAGTCCTTCTTGCAATAGAGGCTTTTCCAATGTCCACATAATGGTAGAGGTGGAAATTTCTCTGAGGAGTGACGATTGCACCAGGGCACCCTTCTCAGCAGATATGTGTAAGGCTTTCCCTCAAGGGGCCGACTAGGACAATGTGAAATTATTTTATATTTGATAAGTGCTTTCTACTTTGCAAAGTTTATGCAAACCCTTTATCTCACTGGATTTTCACAACATTCCTGAAAAGTCAACAATTCTTGCCCTCATTCCTGATAAAGTAACTGGAGCTCAGAGACATTAAGTGACTTGTCTAAGCTGTGGAGCTAGAATTTACTAAAACCAGGTAAATTCCCCAGGGCCTGCCAACTAGCCCGGTTTTGCAAAACAGAAAAGGGGCCTCAGGGGAGTTCTTCCATTCAGTCCAGGTTTGTTTAATACCTTCGCTTTAGTGTCCTTATCTGCAAGATGGGGAATAACCTTATCTGCCTCCTACTCATAGAATTGTGGTGAGATCAAATGATACATTGTGTTTTAGCAGTTTAGAACAGTGCCTGGCTTCTAGATAGCCTTCAGTATAGGTTTGTCACCGTTTTTTTCCCTCACTGGTTGGGAACCTCTACCTTCCTCTGAATCTGTGTTTCTCCTTCTCTTTTTCCAGCCTTTCTTCTTCTAAATCTCACCCTGCAGCATCCTAAGGAACATTTGAGACCAAGAGTCATGGCAGGGGTAGAAAATTCCACCTCAGCTCCCCTGTGCTACTCCTATCCCTGGATTGTGGACCAGCTCCTAGCATCCTGAGCAGTAACTGAATCTGAAAGAGAGAGCTGATTCTAGTTCTTTTTCCTGGGACCTTTTAGCATGGATTCTTTTATTTTTATTTTTTTGACCAAGAGCCACTTTCACTTTTAAGAGGCTCGGGAATTATTCTCCTTAGCGGGCTTGGGTGAGGGGTGTCAGCTCCCCTTCGAGGCCCCAGGACCCGGCCACTTGCTCCCCTCATCGGGATGCGTTGCCACCCCAGGCCACAGAGTGTGGGGCCCAGGGCTGTGTGGGCCGAGGAACTCGCTGGAATCTCTGCCACCCGGCTTGGAGCCACCCGGTGCACGACAGAGTGGGCCTTAAGGAAGAGGCTGATCTGCTGAGGCCTTGGGACCTGGAAAGGGAGAGGAATCGCAAATGCCTGGGCGCCTGCTGGGAGCACAAAGAGGGGATTATGGCCGCGCAAAAGGGGCTGATAATGGGCTGCTGCAACCTCGGCTCATTCTTCTCATGCCTTTGAAGATTTCAGCGAAGCCCGTAGCAGCCGAACACAACCGCCAGCCACCCCGGACCCCCACCTAGGCGCCCAGGCAGGCCCCACCTGCGGCCTGGGCTCTTCGTGAACCCTGGAGGCCCAACAGCACTTGGCATTTTAGCCGCCTCAGGCCCTTCCTGTGATCCCAAGTAGAGGGGAGTGCTAGGCCCATTCCTGGTTTCTTTCTACTGCTTGCTCTCCCGCCAGATACACAGCACGTGGCCAAACTGCTAGGGTTCAAGAGAGAGTGTTTCTGAAAAAGGTAGAAGACTTGCACAAGAGAAAACTCCAAGTATATATTTGAGTTTTCTTAAAATGCAGATTCAGGTCTGATGAGATAGGGGGTTTCACTCTCTTGCAGACCGTCCAATGCCTTGTCTTGGAATGGAAGCAACATTTGGTGCTTGGCCTTGTGGGTGTGCTTTATCTGTCAGTTTACAGGTAAGAGGACTGAAGTTAGAAAGTAACTACAAGGATGACTAGGATTAGAGCCTGTGTCTCTGCTTTCTTGTTATGCCTTGTTTGAAGGGTGGTCACTCTGAGCCATGTGACCTCAGATCCTTTCATGCCTCTGTCAATCGAGCCTTTGGTCATTCAGAGTGTTGGAGTGGGATTTCGAACTCCAAATGTAGGAGCATGTAGGGGTGGATGGGGGATAGAAAAGGGGTGTGTGCGCGTGTGTTAGGAATACGGTTCTTAGCTTAACATTTTAAATGTCTGTGAGTGGTATGAAGAAAAATAAACGGTAACTTCCAAGTGCTGCTGTATTCCAGTGGGTCTCTGAATTTCAATTCCCTTTGACTAGAGAGAGGGTAGGGCAGTAGGGAGCGGCTGAGACTGAACTGTTTATGGCTGGGCATGTGACTCCTCCCCCATCCTGTAGAATATGAACGGTCCCTTCCCACCTGGCACTTCTATACCCAAACATCTCTGTTCCAAGCCTACAGGTAAGGAGCAGAACGCTCCTACTGCTAAAGGCTAGGGTTCCAAATGGGCATGATGATATTATTTCCTGTAATAAAACTAGCCGAACCAAACAGTAGTCAGAAAGTCATCCTTTAGTTCTTGCAGATGTGGGAATCTATTCTTTGTTATAGCCACAAATAAAATACTATTTTGTGGAAACTTCTTTCGTTTTTTTTCTTTTTTTATTTTTATTTCAGGGTATTCTGAGGGTACAAACATTTTGGTTACATTTTATGTGTTTGCCTCACCCAAGCGAGGGTTAGAGGCATGCCCTTCCCATGGACAAGAAGAAACTCCTTTCTAGTCAACTTTCTCTTGTTGAACATTAGTGCGGAAGAATCAGGAGAAGGCTTAGTTCTAGACCTTAGTCCTGCCTTTTCCTCTCGCCATAACCTTGGACCAGGCACTAACCCCTCTAGTCTTGGCTATGGAAAATGAGGAAAGTTGATCAATAAGAAAGAATTGAAAACCTACAATGTGGCAGTTACTAAGCTTGGAGATATAATACGCCCATGGAGCTTATTTATATTCAAATGGAGGAAATACAATAAACAAAAACATAATGAGAATTACATACTATGGTAAGTATGATAATGACAGTGCCCATGGCAGTGAGACGAAGAGCTGCAACAAAAGGAGACCCTTCTGGAAAGAGCAGCAGTTCGAAAACTATGGTCTGTAGACCCTTGGCAGGGAGTGAAGGTAGGGGCTGAAAACCTTGCAGGGAGTCCACAAAGCCAAAATCAATTTCATAAGGATACTAAGATGTTATTTTCCTTTTTTCATTGTATTGACATTTTTTCATTGTATTGACATTTACACTGATCAGGTAAAATCCCTAGTAGGTAAAAGTGATTGCATCTCAGCAAGTATCAAACAATGACACCAAACTATACTAGCAGTGATTGTATTCTTTGCCACTGCACACTCCCAAAAATAAATAAATAAATAGTATGCCAGTTTCACATATGAGTATTCTTCATGAAGTGGTAAAAATTATTAACTTTATTAAAACTCAACCTTTGAATACACATTTTTAAAATATTTTGTAGGAAAATGAGAATTATGAGTAAAGCACTCGTGCTATATATCAAAATACTATAGTTGTCGGGAGGAAAAGCATTTGTGCAATGGTTTGAGTTGCTAGCTAAACTAGCTGCTATTTTCATGGAATACCACTTTGACTCAAAAGATGATTGACAGAAAAATTATTGTTATGCAGACTTGGATAATTGGTAGATATTTTCTCAAAAAAAAAAAAAAAAAAAGGAGTGAAGTGAGCCTGTCACTTC